ATGGGTAGTATGGAGGCTCAATTGAAATCCATTCGAAAATTTCTTCGCCGAATAGCTAAGGTAATGTATTTTGTCATTTATAATAATTAACGTACGATTGAATATTTGTTTTTTATTAATATGTCAGTACATTTTCTAGGGTTTACCTGTAGATCCCAACGAYATGAGACGGACTRGATCGGGTGACGGACGGGGTGACGGAYTGGATGGGCTCGGTGACGATGGAYGCGGTGATGGACCCAGTGGTGGTGATGRTTTTAAARAATCTACCGATGACATGAACATTGATCCTTCRGATTTAGGCGTGCATGAGAGAGAATCACCTCATTGTGATCACGAGGGGGAGCAAGCTGAATTGGAAGCTACATCGGGTGGCCATCACACACCAGAAYGAGAGGTACATTTTATTACTTTTCCATTTCAAATTATAAGTCTTAATCCGGTAATAATGAGGTCTGCATGTGTCATATTTGAAGCAACATGCACGTGACTTGTTGTGCAAGCAAGACGTGCATGAAGAGAACGTAYAGGAAGATGCRAATGGCGATCAAAGCGTGCATGTATCCCAAGGCGAACATGCTCGTGTCGAGAATGCCCCTCTTCAAGATTGTCCSGRCGAGTGCACACCGGTTGAACGTATCATAATAKATTCACAGTACTCCGAGTCGTCCGRAGACGAGGTATTTATTCTTSGTAGTCGACCTTTTAATRAAGCACTTCGGCTTTTAACATATTTTCTGCAGGACCAACATGCAGATGATTTCACCGACTCGGATCTGGAAAAAYCRAGAGATGTTCAATCTCAGACTGTCGAGAATACATCTRGTGCGTCACGGGTGGAGTCGGATGTAGYACATCTCTCGCAGTCGATTGAACGGCCTAAACCTCGACRAGGGTYGCRAAAGAGGAAGCTCCCATGGAAGCTTYGGGGTTCGTTCCAAGTTCTGGTGGAYGGGAAAYGAAAGAAGGTTACTCGGTATGATCCACTCGTGCAGGTCCCCCCCGATCAAGTCGAGAAGTTTCATGCATGGATGACAAACCCGAATACTGACCATTCYTTCAGAAAGTCATGTTAYRRTGATCGAGGAAAGACGTGGTTTCGTGACCTTCTCACATCGGATAACTGGTTGACGAGTGAGGTACGGGGTCGAAACCCTCATTTATGCTACCGTCATGATTATTATTTGCTAACAATGGTAACCCCTATACAGGTGGTGGATTCACTGGTCATGTTCACGCGAAACAAGCTTGAGCAACGACCAGACCTATGCTGTCGAAAGTTCCCCACCGGTGACATAGTCCTTGCGGTACGTAATATATAGTTCTCATAAGCCGCGTATATTCATAGTAATTTATGTTGTAACATGTCTTCGCCATCAATTACAGAACTTCTTTCGACAAACCGACGAACTGTACGAACGTTTGGTAGCCCCGAACGCAGTGCCAGCCAGAGTTGCAGCAGAATACAATTGGACCGGGAAATATAAAACCATCCTTAACTATATAGACGGGACACATACAGAATACCAGAAGTGGTGGCTTGATTTGGATGCTGTCTACCTACCGTTCAACATCGGTGGACACCATTGGATTATGGTTTGCATCGATATGGAAGATGGCGAGATCATCGTGTGGGATTCACTGAGGGCGAACACCCCGCARTCGGTTATGGAGGCYGAGTTGAAGCCCATGAGTGTCGTCCTCCCARCATTGATGCACAGGGCTGGTGTTATGGTACAGAAGCCGACCTTACCAAACCTACCATGGCGCATTCGTCATGTAACGTCGGCGCCGCAACAGGTTGGCTCTGGTGATTRCGGGATTTTCTGTG